GGAAAGACAAACTTCAAATATAGACCGTCAAGTTTCTAAATTGGAAAAGGTCAAAACTCAACATAAACTTCAAAGTCTTTAAGATTTTTTTTACCTGTATACCCCTCAAATCTATTGGGGAGTAATCAGGTCTCAACCTAGAGTTAGTGGGCTTTACATTGAGACTAGAACCCAATTTTTAACCAAAAAACTTAAGCTGTTAGGTTTTGGCCCCAACTTCTATCCTTTTCAATATGGGACTATACTCACACATAAATATCCCTACAATCTCTTCATTTGTGAGTATAGTTCAATATTCTTCCATAGGACTCGCTGAATTCACTAACTTGGTCTAAACAAATAACCATGCACTTGACACATGGCTATCAAACATCCGTAGGATCTTCCACCACTTGTGGGCTAACCAAACCATATCACTAACGAGATTCACAAACTTAGTATGGACCAGCAATCATGCATTTGTCACATGGCTATTAAATATTCGTAGGATCTTCCACCACTTGTGGGTTAATCAAACCATATCACTCCTGCGGGCATCCGTGGTTTAACTTGACTTTGGTCTAACTTTCATCTTCCTGACCTTAGTCGTTCTCTCGAGGCCTTTGGTACCTTTGGGCTTCACATTGGATTTCATTTTTTACTTGGGTCATAATCTTAGCTCTGATGCCATATGTTGGGGGACTACTCAAGCCCAAACTAGAGTTAACGGGCTTTAAATAGAGGCTAGGAACTAATTTTTTAAACAAAAAACTTAAGCTATTAGGTTTTGGTCCCAACTCCTATTTAAACTCTTATTCTTTCTTATCCTTTTCAATGTGGGACTATGAATAAATCTACCATATGCAGCTTTATCCCCCAAATCTGAACATTTGATCATAGATCTCTGTCTGTTGAATTTTACTATACAATTAAGTTGGGTTATTCCCATGCCAAACAAACAGGATGACTGTATCTCATAAAACATCCTGCTTATGATTTTACTTTAATGCCAGATCTTTTTAAATCAAGACTGTTGCATCTTATCCTGTAAGGTCATAGCAGCAGTTTCTATAGGCTTAAAAGTTTTTTTAGGGTATGGTATAGGGGATGAAATGTTAGAATATTAGGAATTTTTTTTTTATCAATCATTGAATGAGAATTTGAGAACATCTTAATTTTCGACATAGTAGTTGTTCAACAGCACAATCTTAGTAATGAAGGTATTCTTTTTGGCACAGTTAACTTTCATGATAGATAAGCGTGAAATATTTGAGGATGAATGTAATATGTTTGCCTTTTATAATTACTCAAAATGACATAAGATTCATATGTTATCCCTACACTCATAAAGCTTTTCTGTTACCTCTCCAGGAGAACCAGGCAGACTAGTACGTGAACGGTATAGAACAGCTTCCCAAGTGATACAAAACCATGTTAGAAGCATTTTAACTTTCATAAGTGGTATATGCATGACCAGAGTTTTTTATGTTCACATTTTACCTTCCTGTTACCTTTAAATTTCACCGACTTACATTCATATTTTCATTTCTTACATGGAAATTGACATAGAAGGTTGTGAAGTAATATACCAAATGAAAAAAAAACTCCAGATCACATGAAGCAAAATTGCATTCTGAATAATTTGTCATAGAAGCATGTACGAGTTTTTACCGTTGGGATGCTTTTGAATAGGTTGGACCAGAGGAATTTCTTTTTAGGGATTCTGTTTGGGTTGAAAATCCTGAGGATCCGTATTCGGTTAGATAATAGGTGAATGGATCAATATAAGATAGTGGCTCTTGAAGATTCCAGGATGAAGAATAAACAGGGCTTATTTTTTCTTTTCAGATTTCAAAAAGTTCATCAAGGCACAATTTTCCACGAGTGCCAGAACACTTGGGGATTCAGACATCCCCATCTGATTCTTAAGGATTTTTACTTTCATTTTCTTTTCTGCATCCAAACAGGCTTCTAAGCATTCGTATATTGATGTTCTTATGTAATCCTCTAGAACCTACATATTAGAACTTCATAGGTCATCTATAGTTTCAGTCTTCAGTGTGTTAATTGTTTTCCAGAAGGTACCCTTTCCATTCGTTTTTTTTTTCATTTTGGATAAAAATCTTAAAATGAAGGTAGGTGAACGATGTCTTGGTAATTAATCTTTTTTCTTTCTTATCCTGCTAATGTGCATTCCATGTTTCATGGATGCAATTTCAAAATCATGAATGGTAAATGAACTGATTACATTTACATGTGAGAATATAAATAAGATGCTTTTGTATGTTTTGTGTATCTTTTCTAAAACTCTTGGAAGTTGGTGGTATAACTACATGGTTAGTTGTAGACTTGTTATATGTCTCTTGTTTCTGGCAAAGAATATGTGTTCTGCCTTTGGTTATTCTATTTGATTTTTGTAATACTATTTAGGATGTGAGGATTTTACCATAGAGCAGTGCAGAGCACATAGTTCTTTGATCTCTTTTTTAAGTGTGCCTAATCACGACTTTATGGTGATTCAGGGAAAGATGAGCTGTTTGATGATTAATGATCTTGATGCTGGGCTGGGAAGATTCGGTGAGTTCTCTTTTTCTGATGAGAGTTCTATGGTAGTATTATATAAAGTATCTGAAATTCAAAGGAATTTACACAACGTACAGCAGTGTTTGACTCTCTATTGACTTGTGCATCGTCTGTCTATCATCATATAATAATTTCTTGGAAGATATGATGGTAGAAAATCACCAATTTTGGTCCCTCCCTCCTTCCTGGTTGATCACTATCATTATCTATCTATCATCATAATATAACTTCCTGAGATGATATAATGGTAGTAAAAAAAATCTTAAGTTCTGGACCCACTCTGTGTGTATGTGTTATGTGTGTGTGACCCCTGATGCCCTTGTCTAATGACTTAAAAATAAATATCAAAACTTGCAGAACTTTTAACCATGCATCAAACAGCTGAAACATTTAAATTATTTTTCAAAAGCATGGCTAATGAGCACACTTAATTATCAGAAGTTCCCAAAGCACATGATTTCCCATTTAGTTGTTTCCATGTCGGTAAGTCATGATTAAAATAAGGATAATTCTATAAAATGATCAATGCAGTTTGGTTATGCCTTTAGGATAATACGACCTTTTATACATGCAGATGTGTATGCATGCGTTATTACACAGACATCTACATGATTATAAGTTGTCCAAGTTATTCCTTAATTTGATTAGACAGGTCATGATATCACGTTTTTGAGATTTCTGTTAATGTTTTTGACTCATCCTAGGAAATACGCAAATGACTGTCAACAACCAAATTATTGTTGGAACTCTGATGAATTTGTCAGATAATCCAACTAGAGTGAGTATTGGGCAAAAATGGAGAGATTCAGATGTCACACATAGAGTCCCCATCATAGTGACTGGGAATGATTTTTCAACATTATATGCTCCTCTGATTCGTGATGGCAGGATGGAAAAGTTCTACTGGTGCGTATCTTCATACTGATTGCATCTTTCCTCGTTATCCCTTAAATGATTTTTCAACACGATACGTTCCTTTATTCTATTATGGTTAGTGAAAAAAAATTATTTACGTGTTTGCATTCTTGGTTACAGGGAGCTAATAATGCTATCAGAATTTGACTTTTGTGTTGTCTTATTAAATTATTTTCTTTCCATGGGGATGTTATATTCATCCTTCAGTTGGAGGCTCTTGAATCATATTTCTTTAGTAAGTGAATACACCAGAATTAGATTATTTCTCTTGATATCTTTTGACCAAGTTACCTCCTTAGATCACTTACATTGATACAGTGCAATGGAATAATGGGGCCAAACTTTTTGAAACTTTAGATTTGGCAGTTTGGTCTCTAAAATTTAATTTTTTTTCTTTTTCTTTTTAATTTTCCCCACGGCAGGCTATATTAAGTTATGTACTTGGACCTTATTTGCATAAAGTTGGAGATATTTGAGTAAAATTAGTTGGCTGATGGATGGTAAATTTGTTTAGGGAGTGTTACGCATGCACATTGGTTGATCGAGAAAAAATTTCTTAGAGGGTCAGGAGACAAAATATCAATTTACACAAAAGTTAACATATAATATTACAAAACAACAATTTTAACAAATTGGCTAAATTCGTAACTTAAACGGGCTATAATTTTGTAAGGGTTGGAGTGCAAATATTTTAAATTAGCCACTGAGGGAGGGGTGGGGTTTTTTGGGGGGTTTGGGGGGTGGGGGGGAGTGTAAGTTATGTTACCTGGGTACTATTATGAAGCTGTACCCGTTACCCGACACTTAACTGTTACCCAGACATGTACTCAACCATATGATATATGTTTTGATTTAAAATACTTGTTGTATACTTATTGGACATATATCCTACACTTCATGTCCATTTCTTGAAACTCGTTAGACATGTGTCTGGTGTTTAGGATCATATCCAAGTTAAAAACTATAATTTAAAGGAGTGGTTTGAGTGTCTAGTTAAAAAATGAGCATTTTCCAATTTATAACAATCAACATAATAAAAGAAACTTTATAAATATGATAGGAATTTAAATTTAAATGGCACATAATTCAAAAATAATAATGATCTCATGTAAATTATTAATCTCGATATATAAATATAGCTGTGTTCGTGTACCCTATATTTCACAATTTGTCTTGTCCAGCACCCGCACCGGATGCCGTATCCGTACCCGTTTTTATGCAACTTAGATTGTAAGTGTAGAAGGCTTTAGAATGCAATTTTCAATATTCCTACGGGTGCGACTTTCCCCCTTTGTTTACATTTGCATCCTTCTATGCGCATGAATGTATGAAAAATAGGTATGAGGTGGCACCTCATTTTATTAAATTTGTTATCTAAATAGATTTAGTGGTGGGTCCACTCTACTAGTCACATTGGAGTAAGTGGAGCTCACTTCATGTCTCTTAACACTTGGCAGCTCATTTTACTAATCGAGATGGCAACTCATATCCAATATTCCTCACACACACAGAGGTATGGAAGTAGAGTTTGAACAAACTAAATAGGGCCTTCAACTTTAATGCATGTGTGTGTGTCTTTGCATGGACATATACATTAGTGTGTGGGCAAGCATGTGGGCTCCTGTGTGTGTATATGGATATGCACTTGTGCTGCTTGCAGTCCTACCCATCTTATTGCAATATCTGGATTTTTTCTGATATCTTCGAACTTTTACCTACTTGTCATGACTCATAATATGTGCAATATAACCTCTTTGATGTCATTCCCTTTTTTGGTGGGCCATTTAAGTTGCTAGGCTTCGATGTAACATTGATATTCTTGTGATTGAGAAACCAAAAAGTTGTATTTAAGTTACAGTAATATGTTCCAATGGGCATGACATAAATTATTAATAGTTGGAAAACTTGGGTTAAGAGTGAAAATGCAATATTCAAAAGAACTTTAAACATGAATGGAATTTGTATTTTTTTCACCTTTATAGCAACGAATGTACTCCTTTACCATTTGGCGTGTTATATAATCCCTAAACTAAAATTTATTGTAAGTTCATTCTTCACAATACTTTGAGCTTCATTGAAGGGAGAGGAAAAGCATACCATTAGTCACGAGTAATCGACTTATCTTATATACCATCTATAAGCAGTCATATATGCCTGGATCACTTTGACTTCACATTTTTATCTTTGGTTGTTGTCCCTCTTTATTCACGGCTTACCCTTTTTTCGTATTTAGTTAGATTATTGTGATTTTCATGCTCATTCCCATTTCTCCCCTTCTCCCCTTAGATATCTTTTGCTCTTGTTTTAGTGGACATAACAGTGGTACTTTAATGCTTTATCTACTGAATCAGGCGGCCAGACCGTGAAGATATTGTTAATATTGTCTATCAGATGTATGTTAAAGATGGATTATCAAGGAATGAAGTTGAAAACATTGTTGACATATTTCCTAATCAAGGTACTATTGGCTTTGCTTAAAGTTTTTTCATGCTGGATCACGTTACATGGCTATTTTATTACTTTTTAGTGTTTTTCCAAAGTGATGAACTTGAGTACACTGTGATCTCATTTCGATTATATTGACTGTTAACTTAATGGCTGACCCACTCAACCTACTGCAAGTGTTGTCACAGTTAATCCCATGATGTCTGCTTGCTATAAGGAAAAAACATGACATTTGGAACCATTTCTCCTATTCTCTTTTTTGAATCTAAGTATAATGGGGATGGGGAGGACTGCATGGTGATTCTAATGTAGTATCCATCCTTTTAGTTGTTCCAGTTTATAATATAATACCTTTCTTCTGTTTCATATTACAATATCATCTTAAGAAGTGAAACTCTTTAAATCATGTGCCTATTGTCTTGTGCAGCATTGGATTTTTATGGAGCGCTGAGGTCAAGGACGTATGATCAGTCAATCTTGAAGGTTTTTATTTGCATCTGATAATTGTGCCTTCTAAGTTTCTTTCCTCTGTGCATGCGAATTGAATAAAAAGCTTTGAAGGGTGCCTATTATGCGTAAAAGTACCCAAATCCTAGCTTAAAATTTCTTCTCAGAACTTCGGCAATTTGGTAATGTCGCTAATGGGTGGATGCATCAACAAGTCAAATTTAAGCATCATCAAGCTGGCAATTTACGAAAGAATACCTCTCTTATGTGAAAATAGAACATTTGAATTCATAATGAGATTTACGTGTGTATTTGTGTAGTTTCATTTAAATTTTGTTCATTTATAAGGTAAAACCTTTCTCTTTATGAGCATTAGATGTTTAATTCTCCTCTTTTATTTCACAATTTTTTTTGCGGTTCATAAGGTTTCTACTGCAAAGGAAAAAATACTGATGTTATTAACCCGCTTCTTTTAATTTGTAGTGGGTACATGATATCGGAGGATACGAGAAGCTTGGCGAGAAACTTCTCAAAGTAAGGAAGGACGGCAAGCTTCCTACTTTTGTTCCGCCCAAGGTATTATACTTCTTTCAAACGAATAAGATATTATAGGGGTCTATTTGCAATTAGCCCTTTTTTATCAGTATAAATTAACAGTTGGTTATCAATTATCTGCCCAACCTGAATGCTACGATAGCTTGTACTTCATGCAAAACCTAATTGCGAACTCAAATTAAAACCTCGAACTGAGCATGGAAATTTAGTGTGTGAAAATTTTCCCCCTCATTTGAAACAGCAAACTGTGGAGGCTTTGCTTGAAGCTGGACGGTCTCTAGTCAAAGAACAGGAACTGATTATGAGTTCCAGACTCTCGAAGGAATACATGAAGAATATGGACGAATAAGATTTTGGTTCAAAATAAAGGGGCCTGATTATCAAGTGTTTTTTAAATGGTTGATCATAGGAATGGGTGCACTTCATAAGCTTGTAGACTCTTTTACATTGCAGTTTGCTCTATTTGTTCTATTTATTATTTTTTTTCTTCCATAATCATGACCACATCCTGCATGCTGAGGATTGTACTAAGAGTGGGTCTAAAACTTATTGTCCCAACTTTTGCTCTCTCTCTCTCTCTCTCTCTCTCTCTCTCTCTGGATGGAGCAAGGAACAGAACTACCATTTTGGATAAGTTTTCTCAGTTTGGGGAAATTCATAGATAATGTGCAGCTTGATATAGGTCTTTCTCCACCCTTGTATCTCTTCCTTTTCGAGAAATCTAAAGTTTTGGCAAATTGACGCTATTGCTTGCATGGTGAGGAAACAAATTGTTGCTGTTTGCGAGAGTCTTAAGTTGTTTCTCCATAAATTTGTGCACGTTCTCATTCAAGTCTTTGTCAACTTCAGAAAAGCTGTAGTTGACGGAAAATTATATAAAGCGCTAATTCACATCAGCTCTCATGTTTTCTAGTTCAAGACTGTGGAAATGTTACATTACTGTAATCCATACTGCAGGAAATTATAATTTTTGATATAATTTACTAGAGAAGCCTAATTATAATTACAGCGCTGCTTAACGCGCGAGCCAAAAAGTGTTTTTGTTATAATTACAGCGTTGCTTTTTACTTTTTTTGTTATACCTGTCCCAGGTGTTTTTTTTTCCCTTTTTTTGGACAAGGGCTTTAGTTAAGGCGAGCTACAACTAGAGTGAGAACCCAAGTTCGAATCCTAGGACCCTCTCAAATACTACAATTCTCTTAGACGTCCATCTAATGAAGGAAATCTCACGTGTTGAGCCTTGCCATTAATCCCACACAATACAAGGTGAATACGTGCACGATAGTATATTCAAACACTCCACAGTTCATTTTTGTTAACCAAAGTTCCTGGTCTGTTATTCTTTGGTCTTTCTTTTTAATTATCATAAAGTTAGACGGTCAATTGTTCAAGGGATTTCTGCTTTTTTTTCTTTCTTTCTTTTTTTTTTTGGTGAGAGAAAACGGAGCAGATAACGATTAGCAAATCTTAGTTATTTCCAAGCAGATAAGTTTTTCTTCGGGTATATCTATTCGTGCGTCGAAGACTAGCAACTCTGAGCACACATGGTTTTAGTCCTCTAGGGGCAGTTTTAGAATGACACTGGAAGGCAAAAGCTTGGTCCAGTTAGTGACTTCACACTGTTTCCTCTCGCTTCTATAGGAACAGAAACCAAATTGAAACAAAGAAAAGTACCAAAGATGCCCTAGCCAGTCTTGAATACAGAAAATTTCATATTTGAACCAGGGCCTAGTGAATTTAGATCTCTTTGTGACTAGCTTTTAGAAGAAACACACAGCAGAAACAAACGCAGCAGCATTAAGCGCATAACCTTTGAGGTGCAAAGCAACGTTCCAAATTTCCAGATACAAAAATTGATTCCTATGGTCAAGTTTATGTAATACAAAACAAGAAACAGACACATGGTGATAAGAAAAAGGATAATGTTGCCTTTTTTTTTTGGGTTTGGGGGTTGGGGTGGGGTGGGGGGG